AGCTGCGACTCCAGGCTTTTGGCTAAGCTCTTGACGTCAATGGTCTCAGGCGTCATAAAGGCAATCAGGTTTCCATTAGACACAATGAGCGCAACGTTTCTAGCCGCTGAGGCTAGTCTGGAGATTGTGCTTTGGACCTCCCCAAGGTCAATGCGAAAACCGCGAAGTTTGATTTGATTGTCTTCGCGTCCGATATACTCGATATCTCCATTCTCCAGCATCCTTCCAATGTCGCCTGTCCGAAACATAACTTGGTCAGGGTTAAACGGGTCGCCAAGAAAACGTTTGGCTGTTTCTTGCTCGTTGTGAAGATACCCCGGAGTGACCTGCACTCCCGAGATATAGATTTCCCCGCTCACTCCCATTGGTACGGGACGTCTGTTGGAATCGAGAAGGTAGCATGACAAGCCCGGAAGTGGTTTACCAATTGACACCCTGTTCCCTGGGCGCAGCATTGCTGTTGTAGATATCAAAGTGCACTCGGCAGGACCATACCCGTTGATCAGGATTCTCCCGGCCGCCCATTTGTCGTTGAGAACTTGGGATACGGCTTCTCCAGCAACTGTAATTACCTTCAGGTTGGGATAGTCGATGGGTTCCAAGGTTGCAAGTAGGGACGGAGTTGCCATAGTAGCATCAACTCTGGCAAGATGGGAAATAGGGTTCTCGGGGTCCTTCAGAACCAGAGTTGCACCAAAGCAGATGGTGGAGAAGACTTCCTTGATGCAGCAATCAAACCCAAGGGACAACATCTGCGCATTGCGCTGGCCCGGACGCGAGTGCAGTCGTCCTACTGGCTGGGAAATCACATTTAGGATACCTTTGTGCTGCAGCTGGACCGCTGTAATTTTATCAGTAACGAGTCCTCGGAAATTAATATGTGGCATATTTGAAATCAATCATACCTTTAGGCAAACCCGTACTTCCTGAAGTATAAACCAAGCATGCGACATCATCACCACTGGGGCGGCTGCGACTGGTTGCAATTGACGGGCTGGAAGATGAAGATATTTCCGCCATAATCGACTCCATGTTGAGAGACGGGACCCCATTGCACAATGGATCCTGACTGGAATTGGCAAAGAGAATCAATGCTGCTCTGCTGTTTCGAACCATGTAGTCCTTTCTGTCGCGGGGCAGTTTCTGATCAACCGGACAGTAGATAGCACCAGCTCTGACTATTGCAATCATACCAAGGAGCCAAAGAAGAGAGCCATCACTAATCATGCATACCACGCTCCCCCGCTGGATGTGCTGCGAAAGACGCCAGGAAATATGCGCCGTCATCCTTCCAAACTCCCTATATGTGAGACACCCTATCAACCCTTCGACAGCACAGATGTCAAGATGCGCTTGGATGGAATTCTCGATAGCCTCCACCAGGCTTTCTGGCATTTCACGAGCGCAAGCCAGCTGCGCTGGCTTTGCAGTCAACATCTCATACTCTTGCTCGTTGAAAATTTGTCCAGTGACAATGCTCAGTCCCGTGTCTGGTTGCGCAGTAACCAGGGCCGCAAGAAGATTATCAAACTGGCAAATCATTCTCTGGACAATTGCATCACCAAAGTGTGACCGGCGATAAATAAATCGAACATCGAACTGGCCATCAGCGCTATCCAGCAGAACGGTGAGTGGGACCTGAGTGGCTTCATTATAGCGGATATCTCTAGGCTCAGGGACATTGCTCGACTCCCAAGGGGACTGTGGAAAGTCATACTGCAGGGCAAAAAGCGACTCGAAGAGCTCTGCCGGATTACACCCACAGCCTTCTTGAATCAATTCAACAGGAGACCACTGGAACTCCAAGATATCACACAGCCTTTTGAACACAGATTGTACAAAACTGTACGTGGACTGGGCCTCCTGGGTGTCTACTGCTAGTGGTAAAGTATTGATCAATGGGCCAACGATGTTCTCCACACCAGGTATTGGCAAGCTTCTCCCAGATAGAACAGAGCCGAGCACTGCGCGGTCTGTGCCGGAGTACCTGGAAATGAGAAGTCCCCAAGCAGCGTAAAGAAGTGTGGCCGGTGTGACTGCAAATCGATACTTAGCGGCAGCCTCTAGTGTAGATACGTTGACAGAGAGTCTCTGAGATAAGGCTGCTTGCGTATAGTCGCTGACATCAGAGGGTGGTGACACTCGAAGTCTCTGAGCAGGAGTATATCCGCTTAAGTATTCTCTCCAGAATGAGACGGCTCTATCCGAGAACTCGATCTTAAGCTGGCCTATTGCTTGCGCAACTTGAGCAAATTGTGGTGGTGCCGGGATGGGTTTATCATCGAGACAAGAGGCGAAATCTCGCATCAAAGTTGCCATCGACCATCCGTCAACCAAGCTGTGATGGACCGTCCAGATAAACCGGCTTCGCTTCCTGGGAGCGACAATAAGAACAACTCTTGATAATGACGCTCGATTCTCTGCGTCAAAGTTTGCGAACTCGGCCACATCCAGATGCTCTTCGCGTCGACAAGCCGATTCCCACTCAGATTCCGTAACGAATTTCTGCTCCCACGAAAAGGCTGGATCCTGAGATATAACTTGGGCTCCATTTGATGCAGTCAAGACAAATGCAGTCCTCAGGATCTCGTGGCGCCGATGAAGACGAACCCAAGCAGCATGAAGAGTAGATGTAAGGTCTTGTTTCTCTGGATGCTCAAAAGTAAAGGATGTCTTGATAAATGAAAGCCCTGGAGTGGTAGCACTAGCACCGAGCATTCTGGTTTGCATGTCGGTCATAGGTGCAATAGCCACACCTTCATCAAGCGGCCGAGTCGTCGATATATCGTGCTTTAGTCGTTCTATCGAATCGTCTTGGCTAGAAAAGGCATGTGGGATATCGTTCAACTCCGTGGCAGCGGCAGCTATATTTTCGACTGTGTCCAACAAAAGCACTTCGGTGACACTGATACCAAACCCCATCCTTCGCAGGACCGAAACTAACATGACTGCTGCTAGTGAATGGCCCCCGAGATGACGGAAAGACGAAGCCTGAAGAATTTGCGAGTCTGGCACTCGGAGCACATAAGATAGTCCTCTACGAACGGCTTCCACTACACCAAGGCCGCTCTCAAGGTTGGCCATATCTGATCCTTGCTCCATCTCATGCATGCGTATCAGACTCTGTCGGTCGACTTTCCCGTTGCCTGTTGTGGGAAACTCGTCTAGTGAATATATCGTATCAGGGACCAGGAACGAGGATACCGTATTCGCAAGATAATCACGGAGTCCCACTTTGGCAGATACAGGTGTGACAAAAGCAATGAGTTGACCCTGGGACATGAAAGCCGATGCGCTGTCAACTTTGTCATAGGACTGTAAAGCAGGCTCGACATCTGCTTCGAGGTTGATCAAGAAGCCCCTGTTCTTGACCACACTGTCCCTGCGACCGCAAAACTGTAGCCCATGCTTGGTCCGCTTGCCATAGTCACCGGTTTTGTAAATCTTGAGCCCATTCCTTTCGATAAAAGCGCTGTTCGTGCGATCTGCATCATGGAAATATCCCAGCGCAAGGCCTAGGCCAGAGATGCAAATTTCCCCTTCTGCGGACTCCAAACCATCCTCATCAAGTAATATAACAGTACTATATGAGATTGGGAAGCCGATAGTAATTGGAGATCCGGGCAGGAGTTCTCCCATAAGCGCTGTGCATGTTGTCTCGGTAGGCCCGTACGAGTTGTAGAGCCGTCGGTGGGGAGAGGACCATGCCTCTATCAAGGACGGACTTGGGCTTTCACCACCGAGGAAAATCTTTTCCACTGTATCGAAGCCCGCCTTCGGGTCCAGTGTAACCAGAATGCTTGGAGTCAATGGCAAAACATGGCATGTTTTGGCCGCGGTTTCAAAGGTAGCCGGATCGGCCAGAACTAGGGTCCCCCCGTTGCAGAGGGTGTTGAATATGACTCCGGCGCAGACTGGATGCCTTAGATTAGAAGGACGTTCACATAATGAGAAGTCAAGCATACTAACCGTCAAACGCAATTGAACAGATGAGCAACACCCTTGTGCCATGTTTGGTGTTGAAATTGAATGGCAAATCGCCCCCTTCTTTCACGTAACGAGAAATTGATCTCTGGCCTATTTTCACTCCTTTCGGCTTCCCCGTCGTACCGGATGTGAAGATAATATATGCCAGATCATCTCCTCTATCAACTAAACCCTCATATCTTTGTGTACAATGGGTCCCGTTACTCGTTGCAATCTCACCGAAGTCGATCCGCTCCAATGCCACAACTGGGTACCGGTAGGAGTCCTTCGGACACGCGGACGTAGACACGATAATTTGCGGGTTCACCGTCTTCAGAACAGTGTCTATTCGATCCTGTCCCCACGAGTCTATGTCAATGGGCACATAAGCGGCGCGGAGTTTCAGGATAGCCAATGTTGCTGCTACCATTGCGATCGATCTCTTCGATAGAAGGGGAACTATACAGCCTGCGCCCACGCCGGCCAGGCGAAGACGTTTGCTCCATATCTCGGACAGAGCATCGAGCTGAGCATATGTGACCCTTGCCCAGGCTCCCTGGTCTGCAGATTGTGTTCCATCTTCAACTGCCACTGATGAAGGGTGCTTTTGCAGTTGAATGTAGAAGTGGTCTAGGAGGGTAGGAGTGCGGTGGGCCATTGTAGAAGACGGCTGTATGGTGATGTTGGTAGTTGTGATAGTGACGTTCATTGGAATGGCCTTCCAACCAGTATGTCCAAACCGTACAGCTTCGAAAGAACCATTCCTGGGATGAAACCTAACGCCGCTTAATGCTGGCGGCTTCGAGCTGAGTGAGATGGTGCCGGACGCCGCCCCCCGAACGGCCTCGGGGGGTATATATCGGCTCGTATGGAATATCCACCGAGCACTGCCAGCTGTAAGCTGACCTGGTAATTAATAGTATCATAAACGCTACTTCCTTCGATAGGCTCCTGTCGAGGAAATAAATGCTATCGCTTTACTGACGGATCAAAATTCACTGAGAAACGTTGTACCTGACCGGAAAACATTCAGAATGGAGAACGAACTTGATCATTTGAACTGGAACATCAAGCATGCATTGTCGCAGCTTGAAGGTCCTCTGTCGCAGGAGCTCAATTCCTGCCTTGAAGTGTCTCCAACTTCGCTGGATTCTTCAAGCTCCGTTTACCAGAAACTTTTAGACACAGTGCAGGTGTTGGACAAGCTTCTCCTCACCCTGACTCCGCCCCATATGACGTTGGTAGATGGGGTTTTTGGTAGGCCTTTTCAAAACCCATACACTTTGTATAGCAAAAAAAGACTAATCGGAAATTAGCCTTTACCAACAGCAAGGTCCTGCTGTGTGCGTCCGAATATGCACTGGCCGATCACGTCGAGAAGCTCCAACCTTGCAGCATTTCGGAGCTAGCCAAAGCCACCGGATTGCATGAACAAGGCCTATTTCAGATAGTCCGGTATCTTCGTGAGATGGGGTACTTCTCGCAGGACCCCAAGACCGGTCTGCTGTCCAACAACCGTCTCTCCAATCTTCTCCGCAAAGACCACTGGGCCACCTGGATTAATTGGGTTGACTTTTTCCCTCGCGAATACTATGATCTCCTCTCGCGTCTCCCTGACCAGTTGAAGACTGATCAGCCGAAAACTGCAACAGAGCTTTTCTACAACACCGACAAGCCTATCTACCAGTATCTGGCCGAAACCGGCAGAGCTGCTGGCTTCCACAAAATCACCGGTACTGGTAGTGTCGTTGAGGCTCCTGGGCTGCTTGCCGACTACCCATGGGACGAAGTGAGGTCAGAGACTGTGGTAGACATCGGGGCTGGAGTGGGAGATTTTATCCGGTCTTATCTGGAGAAGTTCCCCGACGCCACGGCCGCTGCATTCGAGCTTCCTTCGACTGCAGAGATCCTCAAGCAGCGATTCCCCGCCGATGATCCTCTGACCAGTAGAATCGTCTCGATCACCGGAGGAGACTTCTTCCAGGACTCGATTCCCGAATCCTCGGTCTACCTCCTTCGGTGGATCTTGCATAACTGGGGCGACGAGGATTGTATCAAGCTGCTTCGGCGGATCCGGGAGACCATGACCATCAAACCGGGAGTAAGCCGGGTTTTGATTGTTGAATCGGTCCTGTTTGAGGGGCGTTTGGGACGCGGAGCCCGGTACGCAGATATTCGCATGCTGGCGAGGTGCAGAAACAAGGAGCGGACGCTGGAGGAGTACCGAAAGCTGGCGGAGGAGGCTGGATGGCGGCTGAACCGGGTGGTCTCCCCTCGTGGATGTCTCACTCAGATCATGGAGCTGCGTCCAGTGGGTGCATGTGCGGTGTCACCGCAGACGAATGGCAATGGCAATAGCAATGGTGTAGGAGGATTGGAATGGGAGTCGGAGTTGATGTAGGGCAGATTCACACGGGACTCTCAAATGGAATGAAACTGCGATGAATCTTGTGACGATGGGAAGTGCAGCTATGGTTGTCTGTAGACTGAAAAAGGCTAGTTTCTCAAAATTCATGTGTGTTACATCAGTGGGCTATCTATCCAACATGATTCCTGTGTGAGTCGCGCACCCTAGCCGAACATTAGATGCCGAGCACCTTTGCCTCCCGTATCAGGCAGGCTAACGCTCCAAGGTTGCAAGAGAATAAGGCCAGGTTAGTTCAGCTATCGGTGCATTCTATACTCCCCTGTTCTGTCGATTATCTGACGGTCATAATTATGGTCCTATTCCCTCTGACTAGTCAAAATCCTCGGTTCTAAAGTTAGAAATCGCCTCAGAGAGTGGTTCATTTGATTAAGCTATTATCTAACATTACAAACAGTAGCATTGCGGCCCTTTTGATAAATTACAAGCCAGGCCCTTTCATCAAACTTTCTTCATGAGTCGTGGTCCGCCCTTGAACACCCGAGCGGTCGCCGTGCATAGACCCCCGAGAATCATCGTTGCTCCTGCAAAGCACATCAAACCCGTGAATTTGTTGCCTTCGCGGTCTTTGATTGCCCCTTCGATGGGAAGGCCGGTCAATGCGCCTAGTGCGATGGCCAAGCAGAACCCGCCGAGCTTCACTCCGATCTCATCCACACGGTCCTCCGCAAGGGAAACGACACAGGGGGGGCCCAGACTCACGAAGCCGCCGCTGACAAAACCAAACAGCAAGGCAAACACAATAATACCGGCCAGAGACGTATGAAACTCCAGTGGCAGCCAGAAGGCCAGCACCAAGACGCCGGACATACTGGTCACGACGCACATGGTGTTGAACTGTCCGATGATGTCACTTATCCAGCCAGGCACAATCCGGCCAACCAGGGATCCTGCATTGGCAATAGCCAAGGTGTACTGAGCAAAGTCTTGATATCCATGAAGCGACGCCATCTCTGGGAGGTAATTAAGGGGCGCAAAAAGGCCCCACATGGTGAAGAAACAACCCAACACGAAGAAACCCCAGGGCAAACTCTTAAACCCACGAAGACCACTGCGGGGCGGGGCATCTTTGTCTGTGGGGGTTCCTTTACTTGCTTTACCAAGCGGCGGGAAAGGAGACGAGCAGAGAAGGTTGGCAATAAATAAAAGGATGCCTTGCATGAGTGCAGTCCAACGAACAGCCGACGCGAAGCCGACCTGTTCAATCAGTCGAGGGAGCATGCATGGGTAAATCACTCCACCTGCGTCTGCATTAGCCATCCATGAGGTCAATTTCGTTTTCAGCGGTTCGTATTCTCACCTAGACTGCTACCTGCAGACACAATGCCGACTGCCAAACCTTTCTTAGTCGAGAACCACTGCGTCGCCGTGGCCATGGCGGGAAGAGATAGCCCAGCGGCAGCCAGACCGAAGGCGACTCCCTGCGCCAGCATGACCTGCCAGTACTTGGTGCACAAGCTCAGCATGCACACTGAAAACACAGCCATAATGCTGAATGGCGGGAGCGTCCTGCGGCATCCATAGACATCAATCATTTTCCCCACAGCAGGACCGAACATGAAAAGCAGGAAGATCTGCAGGGTGGTGATCCACGCCAAGGCCGACGAGCTTTGATCCTTGAACATGGTCTCCTGGTAGTACAATTGGAAAATCCCGCATCTATTCTCGAAGGATCAGTTCGTTGTTCTCAGATCTACGGGGAAACGAGGCGAAGAGAGAATAGAGGAGAATAGTCACATACGCATTGACGTAACCGAACGAACAAAACTGTAGCAAAAACGAGCCTGCAACGCAAGCCCATGCCTTGGCACCACCATTGGGCGGGACGCGCTCGAGGGGTTTGGGGGCCAGGCCTTTCTCCTCGTTTTCTATTGGGCTAATCGCCGAGGGCGCGTCGTGCTTAGGCGCTTCCGACATTGTGAGGGAGTATATGCGATGAGAAGCAATTACCGTAGATGATCAAGGTTGGGAAGAACACTAGAGTAGACGGCATGAATGATGAGGGAGGACGATGGTCCATGGTGCTGAAGTCTTTTAAAGGAGGCCATGGTGGGACCAGCTCGGTCTCGGGGATGGAGGGGGGGGAGAATAATACAGAAGTTCGGCCTGAATGCAGCGGCGGAGGGTTCGTGCGGAATAATAATAATAACAGTGAAGGGAATGCATTAGGGGAGCAGACAAAACAAAGTTAAGGAAGATCATCGTCAGATCTATCCGTCAAGCGCCAAAATCCTTTAGCTCGGCCGAGCTAAGGCAGTCCGCTTTTAGGGTTCGGCCGAGGATCTGGACGCCTGAGCTCGGCCGAGGCGGAGGGGGCCAGACAAGCCAGGCGGGCCAAGCCTCTACTCAGACCAAGTCCAAGCCTCCAAGACTTCCAAGCCCGTACAAGCACAGCACACGGCACGCCTTTCGACATCAACCCCATGGCAATTCCAGCCCTTTTACGAGGTGAGCTGACCACCCGGCCTGCATTATTCCCTCAGTTCCCACTGTTTTCCCTTCCTTCCTTCCTTCTTTTCGTCTTACCCAACATTCCTTCGTTGTCAGAGAATGACTTCTTTGGGTAGGCTACTCTCCAGGCTGCACGCTTATTTCTCACTAAATACGACGCGGACGCGCCATCTTATCTTCATCTTATCCATCATACCCTCCCACTTACCAGAAGCGGTAAGTCAGGGAACCACTTCTTGCTCGATCAATCAGCGTCAGTAAGTGGGAGCTGACCATAATCCTAGTGTCACCATGGCCATGCTCTTGAAAATTAATAGCCTCCCCTTCGTTTACCCCTTGGTTTAGGTCATCCCCCCTGTCATTTTAGCTCTCGCGTGTGCCAGCCAGACTACCAGGCTTCCAGGCTGGTCGTAGCGATTGGACGCCAACGAAAGTGTCAGCATGATTGTTGGTTCGCTATTGGACTCAGCCCTCAGCGACTTGGCAATGGGACGATGATGCGTCAGAGAGCATCGGGTTTCTGACTTCTCCAATGTGGCCTTTTTGGCCCCATCGCGGCGCTTCTTCTATTTGAACCCTCTTCCGGTAGCGTTTTCGGTTTCTTTGAAAATGCTAAGCATCCTTCTCCGGATCAAAAACGACCATTTGGTTGAGGATCGCTCTCTTCACCATTTTTCTTGGCGCCATTATGACATCTACACTTTCTTACTTGACCAGTCCTACGACAACCCAGCAGAGCAACTCGGATCACAAAAAGCTGCGCTCTGCCTGTGATTCGTGTCATCAATGCAAGGTCAAGTGCTCCGGGGGGTCTCCCTGTTTCCGTTGCACATCCAAGGGCTTGCATTGTCGCTACGGCTATCAAAACAGGGCAGGAAAGCCCAAAGGGAGCAAAAACCGGAAGACAGTAGAGAGGGAGCATCAGCTACGGATGGAATGGCTGACAAGCCAATTGCGGGATGCCCATGGAGAGCTGGGGAACCTGAACATCGATCTCTCAGATCCGACGACACTACTTCCAAGTCCATTTTTCTCCTCGAGCCGCTGGAAACAGGTGAGTCGCTTGGATCTGCAACGCCAATCATGTACCGCGTCTAATGCCAGCAGGGCCATATTCCTCTTCAATCTTCTGTCCAGCCCACACCGGCCAATCAATGCATCGAGTCTACCGAACATGAGAACGAATGCCTTCCCACGCCACAGGACTTGGACACGTGGGCAATGGACCTGGCCCCGATTCTTCAGACTCCCAGGGAAAGCACATCAGAGAGCCTTGAAGCTTTCACGACACCTGTCTCGTTCCCCGGCGATACATACTTGCGGCAACTCAGTGACCCCACCACACCGCTATCATATGGGTTCCCGTCCCCTCCTGCCCGTCTAGATGTAACCGGGGATCCGTGCGCCTGCGTTCAAACCCAAGCGGTCAACATATCCACTCTACATCAGCTTACGTGTCGTGATAGGTCCGACCGATTCGACTTGGCGCTGAAGTCAATCACATCAACTCTTGAGACGTGCGAGAAATTCATCACCTGTGCCGCTTGCGACAAGTCCTTTTCATCAATCCTCCTCACCCTTTCAGCGATCGAGCTGATCTTCACATTATTCGAGCAACTGACCATAAACAACCGGCGCCTAGCACCGCCGGAAGAAGAGCAGCGCCTGATCCCCTGCTCTCTGGGGGACTACAAAGTCACCAAGGAAGAGGGTCAAGCCATCCGGAATGTTCTCGTCAAGATGACCCTCTCAAAGGGGAGGCAAGCCCTCGACGCATTACAAAACCTTGTGAATGGATCCGTAGACTTTGTGGACGACAGCAGGCAATGCGAGGCTCCCCGACACGACTCCAACGAGCCAATGTTGAGAGGCTTGTCCGTCACCGATCGAGATTACATGACCCAGTGTATCAGCCGCAAAAATGCAGCATTGGAAGTTCTCATGGCCGCGGTTGCGGTCTAGACCAAGAAAAGCCAATAGAAATCAACAAATAGAAATAAAAGTGGGCATGATCATGGTCATCTTCTCTCCAAGACACGTTGACAACCTAGGCCGCTGTAAAGTCTGCGTTAAAGTAGTACAATCACCGATCCAGCCGCATACTTATCACAGATGGAAGCCAATCACTGTTGTCACAGCTGGCTGAGATGAATATAGCCAGTGGCTGTGCTGGTGCATAAGGAATGGAACAAGAGAAAAAAGGTGTTTCTATGCAAGGAGGTGAAAAACCAAAGCATGTCTCGGAAGGTTGAATCAGCTCCTGCTGGTCAGAAGGGCGTCAGACAATTCACCAGGCTGATCCAGAGCAGCAACATCCAGCCCCCCGCCACTCCCCATATTGCTTGGGGACAAGGCGATCCAAGTCACCCTCGGCCCCCAGAGTAACATATGATGGATCATGAATTGTCTTTCCACACTGCCTTAGGTAGCACAGATTTGCGTTGGGCGCTTCCCCTTAAAACCAATGAGCCGTTATAGATGGTGGCGAACCAATTCAAGGCAGCCACTACAAGTGTGACGATGTG